GAGTAGGAAGGTGCCTGCCTTCTTTTCCTACCTACAGGGAACAAAGCAGCAGAATGCCTCCCTCCCCCTTGATAGAGGACTTTCTTTTAATGATTTTGTGTTCGGGACAGTTGTGACCGTTGCGCGGCGGTGGGGGGCGGGGAGCGAGGGGGACCTGGCCCGTCCCCTCCCCTCCCCTCCGCGGTGGGGCGCTCGGTCGCCCCCTCCTCTGGGGCAGGCCTGCTCGAGGTGGGAGGTGGACGCCGGCCTCGCATCGGGGCGGCGGAGCGCAAACCCTGCCCCCCTGTTGGGGTTCCCGTCGGCAGCACCTCTCCCCAAGCCCTGCCCCCTCCGCTCTTGCACCCCAGCCTTTTAGGGAAGGCAGCTTGGAGGGGCCCAGTTCTGGGTCAGAGATGGACGGTGGGTAAGGGGGACCCTCTGGGCCTTTGAGGGGCGTCCATGCATAGGGACGTGGAAGGCAGGGGTAGGAATGGCTGTTGGGCCCCTGGGGTCCCCCTCCCCCCAGCAGTCCTGCAGGGGCCCCCCAGGAAGTCAGGGGCCCCCCAGGTCTGGGAGCAGCACCCCCCCCCACCTGTGGGACAGAGGGAGGGAGCAGTTCTCCCGGTGGAATCTGGACAGTTTCCCTGGGGAACAGCGAGGAGAAAGGGCTCTGTGAACAGATCCCCGAGCAGATAAGCTGGCATTTAAAAGAGAAAGGGACACTGACCTCCTTTGAAGGGAGGTTTGAGGAGACAGCCCCACCCATCCTCGCTGGGGAGGCTACTGGGGCCCTGGGGGAGCTGGGTGCCCGGCCTGGGGTGCACCCTTCCTGGGGACCCACCCCGCTGATAACCTCCTGCTCTCTCCCCTGCAGATGCCGGGAGCCTGGCCGAGGAGAAGGGCCTGCGCTGTCAGAACCCCGACTGCATGGACAAGGGGCGGGCGGCCAAGGTAGGGAGCTGGAGGCCGGGCCGAGGCCGAGGGGCCGGGCGCTCACCAGCCTCTGTCCAGGCACCGGCCAGGGCGAAGCTGGCTGGCCACAGCGCGTCTGGGCTCAGGAGTGGGTAGGGACCCTGGGTGGCTGGTTTCGGAGGCAGAGGGGCTGCCCCTGGCTCTGTGGCAGTGGAGTGGGGGGACGTCTGCGAACGCAGGGGCAGCAGGGGTGCCCCAAAGCCCTTTTCTGTGCAGTTCGTGCAGCAGCCCCGGGGTGACAGGAGCCGTGGCCCCATGTCACAGATGAGGAAGCTGAGACTCTGTAGGGGGAAGGGCCCTCCCCCCCAGGCTCTGTTTCAGTGCCAGTTGGCACCCTTGCTGCAATACCAGGCCACTCTTCAGGCCTGGGCACGGGTCAGGGACGCTTTGGGACAGTGGCTGTGGCCCTGGGACTGGCAAAGGGAAGGGACAGGCTGGTCCTGGAGTGCCAGGCCTCGGGAGCTGGGAATGAGGCGGAACGGGGGATCATGGTCAACAGGATGCCGCAGTTCTGCCCGCCCCCCGCCCGACGTGCCGGGCGCTGTGCCACGCGCTCTCTGTGCCTTATGCGCCACTGTGGGAGCCCTGCTGGGAAGACATCATGGCCACGTTCCCCGATGGAGATACCAAGGTTCAGAGAGGTCCTGTGACTTGGCCGGGCCCTGCAGCTCCAGAGAGACCAAGCCAGGGTTTGAGCCCGTGTTGCGCCCCTCCCAGCACGCATTTGCGCGACCAGTCCTTCTGGCCGAGATCTGTCCTGTCATTATTCCCGTTTGCAAATGGGGAAACTGAGGCTGGGGAGGGTGTGGCTCACCCAGGGACACATTGCTGGGATGTGGTGGAGCTGGGATTTGAACCCAGAGCCCAGATCTGTGTAATGCCAGAGCCCGTTTCCTAACCACGGTGTAGCTCGGCTCTGCCAGCTGCAGGAAATTAAAAATGCCACTCCCCCAGGTCCCTTGTCTCCCCCCCCCCCCCCCCCCCCACGCAGACACGAAAGCGCACATGCTGCACCAGAGGACCACGGCTAGAAGGAACAGTCAGAAGGAACGCGAGGCCTGTTCTGGGTGGGAGCGGAGGGGGAGGCTTCCAGTTGCCGTAGTCACCAGGCAAGGGGGTGTCTGTGATTCAGACAATCTGCTGGCGCGGATGGTGCCTGGCATTGGCGCTTTGGTTTTGGCAGGTTGCCTCTCTCCCAGATGGGGGCTCCTGGCAACAAATTGGCCTCATTACCCCCCTGTCCAACCTGCCAGGGGCCTGCACAGCCTGGGGGCTTCCTCCTGACCCTGAGGCGTGACAAGAGGGGCCAGCCCACACTGTCCTGGCCCCTCTCGTGGGCAGCTGCCCCTGGGGCAGATCCTGGAGCAGGGGCAGGGGTGGGACGGCCTGGACTGTGCAGAGGTGAGGCCTGTGGATGAGGGCTGGTTTCAGAGCAAGTGTGTCACCTCTGCAGCCACAGGTCCTAACTGAAGCCCAGCCTGGGCCTGCCTGGAACTCAGCAGGGCTGACCTTGGCATCAGCAGCCAGAGGGTTGCCCAGCCTGCAGGGGGAAGAGCTGAAGCACGGTCATTGGTGGGACCCACTTTGGGACACGTGGCACAGACTCACTTCTGGGACCTGTGTGATCAGAGGGAGGAGGGCTAGTCAGGGAGGACACCCTGGAGGAGGTGGCCTCTGGTGAAAGTAAAAACATCCACAGGCAAGCAGGAAGGGGGAACTGCCACAGGCGGGAGTACAGAGGCAGTTCTTGCCAAGCGGATGAGGTGGCTGGAGGAGAGGGTGAGAGGAGGAGCAAAGAATGTCCTATTGTTGATGATAATAATAACCACCACTGACTGAACACGTTTCTGTGCCTGGTGGGGTGTCAGGCCCTCACTGAACCCTCGTGAGAACTTCAGGAGGAAAGCATGATTATTCCCTCACGACACGTGAGGAAACGGAGGCTCAGAGAGGTGACAGGACTTGCCCACACCACACAGCTTGATTGGCAGAGCTCGGCCTGGAGTGAGATCAAGAGCCTCCTCTCTGGCCGTTCTAGGAACGGCTGGCAGGATATATGAGCTCTTTGAAGGAGATGACATCATTCATTCATTCACCAAATCAGCTTTGAGCATCTGCCGGGCAGGCCGGGTTCTAGACCCTGGAGGTGTCCAGGAAACAAAGGTCCTGCCCTCCTGGAGCTGACATCCTCGCCCCCTGGGAGGAGGACGGAAGTGAGGCCTCGGCTTTGCCAAACTGGCCCCCAGGCTGCCCCGGGGCAGGGCCATCTTCCAACAGGGCTGGACGCTTCCGCTTCTGGGTCCACCCTGGAGGTTTTGTTTGAATCTCTCCTGGGTGCTGAGGCTTCTGCCATGAATCAGCTGCCCCACCCGACCTCCTTCCCCTGGAGTTCACGCCGAGGGCAGGGTACCAGGCCGCTGGCATCCTGAGGAATGAGGAGCTGTGAGGTGGAGGCAAGCTGAGTGAGCCAGCGGTATGTTGGGGCTGTGAAGGAGTGAGCAGGGCCTGGGGGCCGGGGAGAGGGAGGCGGAGCTGGATGGGAGACACCGATGAAGATGTGTAGCCCGGCCAGACTGGCTCAGTTGGTTGAGCATCATCCTATGCATGACACTCAGAATCAGGGCACGTACCTAGCTTCTGGTTTGAGCCCTGGTCGGTGCACCTATAGAAGGCAACTGACGCATGTTTCTCTCTCTCTCTCTCTCTCAGCATGTCCTCAGGTGAGGATTTTTTAAAAAGATGTGTAGAGTAGCCCACATCTGTGACCTCCAGAGTCAAAGTCAAAGCCCACTCCCTCCCCGCTGCATGGCCTGGGGCAAGTCACTCCTCCTCTCTCAGCCTCGGTTTCCAGGTGGTTGTGCTGAGGATAAAAGGGCTCGCCCGTGTAGCGCTTGGCACAGACTGGCGCACAGTAGGTGTTCAAGAGAATGAATGCCAGCAGCCACCACGTGCTCACCCTCCACCGAGGGGGCGAGACCCCAGGCCTCAGGCGCACTTTCCTTCTCCTCCCTACGATCTGAGACCCCCGGGGTTCCACCCCAGACCCTGGCCAATCCCGCCCAGTGGACATAGGTTTGTGGTACTTCTGTCTGTCCTGTTCCAAGGGCAAGTGGGGCTCAGGGTCTGGGGAGATGGGGAGGTGTTCTCTTCCTCCCTCCCTCACGGGGGGCCAGTGCTGATGTGATGGGGGCCCCACCAGCCGGACCGTGTCTGGCCCCCTTGAGCTGGGCTCCGGTCCAAGTCTGTGGAAGGACACACGGAAGAGGGCTGACACTGGCCCCGGAGACACTGGGCTCTGGGCTCACACATTCGAGGGGCAGAAGGCTTGGGAGTGCCTGGAGGGGGCCCCCCAGGGCGTCACCCTCAGACTAAGGTATTGGTCTAGCGGCCACCATTTCCTCAGCTGGGGGCCCTGTGTCCGGCTTCACCGGGGGACCCCAGCTGGTCCTCACACCCCTGCCTTGCAGTAGGCCCCACCCCACCTCCATCAGACAGGACACGGGGAAGCAGGGAGTGAAATGACTAACCAGGCAGGTCAAGCCAAGTCTGTCCCCGCCTCCCATTTCTAAGGCGCTGTCAGGAGGAAAGGGAGGTTTGTTTTTCCGCGTGGCTCCCAAGGGCCCTGGCAGGGAGGTGCGTTTGGGTCAGTAGAGGCCAGAGTTTGCAGCCCCGGAAGCTGTTCCCCGATGGATAGGTAGTGAGCACCCCCTGCCTAGAGGTATTCAAGCGGAGAGAGTGGAAACTGGGTTTGCTGAACAATGGGCTGTGCGGTGGCAGGGATGAGGGTGTGTGTGTGTGTATGTGTGTGTGTGTGAGTGTGAGTGTGTGCGTGTGTGTGTGTGTGTGCGCGCGCGCGCACCAAGGGGAGAGGCAGCCAGATGAAGACCCGTGGACACAGGGCAGAGGAAGGGTGGGCCTGAGGTCCCTGTGGAGGAAGAATGAGCAGGATGTGGTGAATAATGGGAGAGGTGGTCACCTATTCTCTCGTGCAGCCCTCTTGGGGATAAGAGGTGGAGGTCAGGGTGCCCTTGACAGTGGCCGATTCTGGGGTTCCCTGGTGGTAACTGGTCTTTTTAGATGCTGGTCAGCAGTAGAAGGTGGCAGTCCAGTCTGTACCCTGACAAAGGGGGAGGACAGAGAAGCAATGCCAGTGAACTCCTCGGCTTTGGCTAAGTAATTGGGGGGGGGGGACAGGTGAAGGCTTGGGGTGCCTGGCCCAAGAGACAGAGACAGAGGACCCCATTCATGTGACTGGTGTGGACCCAGCCCCCAGGAAGGCAGCCCCTGCCAGCAGGGGGCTCCGGGCTTGGTGAGGGCCTGAGGGGGTGTGGTCTGTGATTGGGAAAATGCTGGGGGGGCAGGAGGGGGCTGTGTCTCTGGCCCCGGATCCGCCCTGGTGGCCGAGGTCACTGCACCCACCTCAGGGGGAGAAGGAAAGTGTGCTTGGGGCAAGGCTGCTGCCTCCTCCGCGGTGCCCTGTCTCCCCACGCACCGCCTGCACCCCAAGTTCCTAGCAGAGAGGGAACCACCAAGGGGCGGAATGGGCCCCCTTTGCAGCCCTGCATCGTGAGCCAGGAAAAAAGAGGGGGGACACGGAGACGGCCAGACGGGTTTCGCAGGCGCCATAGAGGCGCAGTTCCGAATCCAGCCATTTATAGTGGAGAGGAAGCGAGCCTGGCTCGGGGCGATTCCCAGGGCGGACTCTGCCTCCGGGTCCCTTGGCCTGGACCCCTGGGGCCCCCTCGCTGGCCAAGGCAGCTTCCTGCCGTGGGGCCTCCCAGATGGGCGAGCTCCTGTCGTCAAGCCCAGGTTAAAGACATTGAACTTCCCGGAGATCTGCAAAGGGCCAGCCCCCTTGGGGACTGACAACCGCACCCCCCCCCCACTCCCGGCTCCCCAACCCTAAATTACTCCCTGAGCGCTAGCTGGGCCGCCAGGTCTGCCACCCCCTGGGCCGCCAGGTCTGCCACCTGGGTCCA